GGGAGGCCTTACGCTGGCTGGTAGCTCTCCTGGAGGTTACAGCGCCGCCGGATCGGCTTCGGCTTCTTGCCATTGTCGCAGAAGTTTCTATGCACCATCCGGTTGTCGCTTTTCCGCCGGCAGCCATACTTGGTGTACTGGATGCCTGGGGGGGCAGAGCATGGGTGGTAAGGCAATTGGTGTGGGGGTCCCACCGGCTCCCCACCAGGTCCCCTCCTGCATCCCCGCCAGGACGCATGCTCTCGGATGTCACCGCTTAGGTGGGACCCAAGCAGTGCTTCACCCAGGCTTGCAGAGGATGCTCGTGTGGGTGCCGGACCCCACCAGCCTCCTGGGGTCACCCAGGCTGCCGTGGGGCACACACACAAAGAGGGGCAAAGCAGACTCAGCCTTCCCCCCATCCCTGCCCCAAGCGGCTCTCCCGAAAACCCAGGTCAAGACATGAGAGTTTCCTGGTGGAAACACAGCCACGAGCACTTAGCGAGCTACAGATTTGGCTTTATTTCTCCAGATGAGGGAAAAAAAGCAGCACATCACAAGCCCAGCCAAAGCACTGCTATAATTTGCCAAATAAGCGGCGCTTGCTTGGGAGCAGACCAGACCAGGGCTAAGCCAGCCTTAACCATGAGCTGCCTGCTGCCCTGCTGGGAGCCCTGCTGCAGCAAGGTCCGGGGAGCCAGCGAGAGCTCACTTTCCAGCTCTGCAAGTCCTAAAAGCTTCCAGCCGTGAGCTAGACAGCACAAGGTGGAAGCGTGAGGTCTTCTACATCATTTGAGGGTCAGGTAGGTTGGAGGTGGCCTCTGGAGCTCTCTGGTCCAGCACCTGCTCAGAGCAGGGCCAGCTTTGAAATCAGATCCCACTGGCCATATCGAGGCAAGGCTTTCATCAGCAAACCCCTGACGCCAGCAGCTTTCTCCCAGAGGGAAAAATCCAGCAATAACTCTGCCAGGAGCTCAGGTGTGCTACCTGCCCTCCAACACAGCACTTACTGGTATGTCCACACCTATCTCCATGCAAGCTTTAGGAGTAGTCATCTGCAAAATCACTAACTGTTGGCTCAAATTGGGTTAAAAACAGCCAACGAATTAAAAACTCATAGAAGGTACATGGATAGACAAAGGTATGCACACATAAGCCTGTTTTCATAAGAAATCTGGCTAAAACACCTACCTGAACTGCGCTGCAATAATGGTTTTTAACACTCATGTTCCCACATGGTAGATCCCCCAAATTACAGACGTGCAAAGAACATGGGTATGAGTGTAAAGAAGAAAGCCAGGCCTCCACACAGTACCAGGCTAGGTCTAAAGCCTTCCGATGTATGATGTTAGGGAGAAACGATTTCAAACAGCACCTGCATGTCTCCAAGCCAGAGATGCCCCAAAGGGCTCACGCACCATCTAACACACCCAAGCATCCTTCCAAGCCCACACTGTAGCCTGCTATGAAGGGAAAGCTACCTCCTCCGCATGCCTTGGAGCACTGAGACCAGCTCTTGAGAGCCCACTCGTAGGAATCCATCTCCTCAAGCAGGACGTTGTTGTTTCCGATCATGGGCAGCAGGTCTTCGTGGATGATGTACCTGTACATCAGGCTGCTCCTTGCCTCCTCCTCCTCCTGAGGGATGACCTGCAGGCAGAGAGAGGACAATCAGAGAGGGGGAAGGAGAGGAAGGAGTGATGCCATGGGAGAGGGAAGGGAAGAGGAGGCCATCAAAGAAAAAAGAAGTGAACAATGACCACATGGTACAGTACACACAAGCGTAGGAGAAACAAACCCCGTTACTACCTCCAACATGATTAGGTAGGCTCTGAACACAGAGTCTACCCTTCAGGAACCTACCTCTCCAGTTGTGGAGAAAAACACTGCCCAAACATCCCAACTCCAGCCTTGGGTGGCATGGCCCTGGCCTCTCCTCTGACCTGCAGGACCACAGTCTATGCCCAAAGCCAGCGCCAGCCACAGGGATGGACGGGAGTGCAGACCTGCCCTTCCCTGGGTGCCCACGGAACCCAATCCCTAACTCCAACAAATACCAGTATAATTAAAATGTGACGTGGAGTCATAAGCAATGGCTGCACAGAGCAAAATACAGTTGGATTCAAAGGCAAACACCCAAGTGATGTGTCCTTACGCCATTCTTGCACGCAGCTCATTGCCCCTTCCGTTTGACTAGCTCATTTCCCTGGGTTTAATGCCATGCCCTATGTCCTTTCTCTACCAAAATCCTTCCGTCATCTCCTACATCCCATCTCAGACCACCTCCTGTCCCTGTACCTCTGGGTGACAGTCATCCCCGATGCCCCCAGAGGATGCATCAGCCAGGCTTACCAAAACACTGATGGCCTCATGCAGAGGACCACTGGTTTTCAGGCTCTCCTTCCCATGTTCAACAGTGTACTCCCACTCCAAGCCCATCTCAATGAACACTTGGCTTTTGGCTTCCTTGCCCTTGGCGTTAAGGATGAAGTTACCCGTGGCTTGATTCTTAACAGCTGGAGGAGAGAGGAGGTATTTCAATGTCATTTCCTCGGGTCACTGCCTTTGAAGGACTGGAATGACCCAAATAAGACCCTTTGGGTGGGAATTGTCAGAATAGGGCTGAGAAAGAGGTAGCGGGTGAAGGGAGAGGTGAACTACAGTATGCTCACCGATGCTGTGGGATGCTGGCTCCATCTCTTCTATCTGAAGGTGCCTCGCCCCAGCTGGAATCTCAAACACCTTCAAAACACCTGCTGAAAAGGAGAGAGGAAGGATGGAGGGAAGAGAAAGAGCAGGCTTGCTCCACCCAGACACGCACCCGCTCGCACCCACATGTGAATCCAGCTGACCCTGACCAAATCCGCTCCCAAACCCGCCCAGCCCACTCACCCGGCTGCTTGGGGGTCTTGGCCAGTGTGCCCTTCACCGTCCGGCAGTGGGAGTTGTCGCCCCCGCAGACCCCGCACTTGTCATCCTGCTTCAGGGAGCCAACCTCCTTGTCACAGCCGACATGCTGTCACCCATGAGGAAGAGAAGACAAGCACGGGGTTACATCCCTGCAGCCCATCCCCTCGCTCCGCCATCCCCATAGCCCTTTGCTGTACACAGGGTCAGTCCCCAGGCTAAAAGATGCGTCCCCAAGGGGTAGTGGGTCAAGGGGATGCACAAGCTCTCTCCTGGACAGGCAAAGGACAGGGACAGTCATGCAGCAGCCGTCAGCTCCTCACCACACACTCGCCCCGGACGCAGATGCTGTAGGGATCTCGGTAGCTGCACCGGGTACCGTCATGAACAACCTGATTCATGAATACCACGTCCCCGGTTCCCTCGGACTGGCAGATCAGCTCACACTTCTGAGCATCTGCGGCAAAATAAAAAGTAAAGGGGAAAAAAAAGGGTTTGTGAAAATACATTAGGGTGATTGAAGACAGAAACCCATCTCAGCTTGTACTCCTGAGCACAGCCAGATTTCTAAAGCCCAGGCTATTCGTGTGCCTTATTTTGCCGTGTCTGTTTGCTGCTCAAGAGCCTGCACTTTTGCCCAGTATACTCGGGAAATTAAAAGAAGGCAACTGGAGGGACACACTCCGTGACACTGCAATGCAAGACACTTGGCTGCGTGCATGAGGAATACCAAGCCAGGCAGGCGGACCTGGCTCCCAGCCCAGCCCAGAGTGGCACACTCCCCACTGCGGCTCTGGGAGCAAGCAGGCAACGCCATCACCCCACCATCTCCAAGGAAAACAAGTCTTCTGTGTGCCAAAGCACACAGAAAGCGGAGATAAAACTTTTAAAGTAGCGCAAACAGATTTATCTCTGGCCACCATTACAAGGGGCTCTCCTCTTACTAGCGCAGGAGGAACAGGGAGAGATTTCAACATGGGCTGATCTTCTCAGCCCACCTCCACTGCGCTTTGAGACAGCAGGAGCCAGAGCAACACCTGGGTTGACACCTGAGGGCAAGCACAAGAGATGATTTTAAAGACCTGGCTGCTTGATGCTGGCTTATTGCACTCTAGTTTCCAGCTCAGGAGCTTTCCACAACCCAACATCTGTGCAGCTGGCACAGTCTCCATCCCATGGTGATGGCCACCAGTGTGGCCTCCTCTGGGAGGGAAGGCAATTTGGCTACTGCTCCTTTGCTAGGACCCACTGCCACTCACCGTCGTGATGCTCGTAGGGAAGCCAAGCATGCTTGCTGTTCTGGTGGGTGTAGTAGGAGTTGCGCTTGGAGCACTGCTGGGCACGGAAATCCTGGTAGGGCCCCGGGCACTCCTCAGCATTGCACACTTGGTACTCGTAGGTGGATCCTGGGCAGTGGCGCCCACCATATGCCGGGCTGGAAAATAAAGGGTGGGTTAAAAGAGCATCAAGGGCTGGGGGGGGGACGCTGTTCAAATGCGACACAGCTCAGCACCCAAATGCATAGCACAGCCTAGGCAGGAGCAGATGTCCTCATCCCTGCCAACTGAGCGCACAAGGGGAAGAGCGAGGAACCTGTTGCTCTCAGCCACTTCCCAGTTTTACCCCCACTAAAAGGAGGGAGACAGAGGCCAAACGTACGGTGGGTTGTCGCAGCTCCGGCTGCGAGAGCGCACACCTCCCCCACAGGTCCTGGAGCACGAGCCGAACTTGGACCAGGAGCTCCAGCTGCCGTCCTGGCTGTAAGGCTGCTCCGACGTCTTCCAGATGCAGTGACCCTTGAAGCACCACTGGAAGGGAGGAGAAAGAGGGGTGAGCTCTATGCCTGCCTCTTCCAAAGCACTCGGCACCAGTAAAGAGAGCCCTCCTACACCCACAGCACTACAAAATGGCTCACAGTTTGCAAAGCATGGGAGGAAGGTGCTCTTCATCATGCCCTCAGGCACATCCCTCCCACAGGAAGCAGGACCAGGAGTGGTCCCTGGGCATGCAACAGCAGGCCTGCCCTCCAGGCTGATTTGAGGACGAGCAAGCTGCATCGTTTCGCGACCAACCCAGGAGCATGAGCAGCCCGCGGCTTTGCTCTGAGAGCCCAGCACAGCTCCACAGCCAGGACTCGCAGCAGAAAATGCAGCAGAGGAGCAAGGATAAGCAGGGCAGGCTCCCAACACATCCATGCTTTGGATCAGGTAAGAAGAGCCTGCAGCTGCATAAACCTGCTCAAAAACTCATGCAAAAAGCTGCTGAAGGCACAAGTCTGGGGCATGCAAAGATCCCTCTGCAAAACAAATCCCTTTGACTTT